ACCCTCGAACCCCAAACCCTCAAAAAGAGGCATTTCGGCATCTCTATGCCCTGGCAGCGAGGCTGCTACAGAGCAAGGGTTCTTTGGTTTGGATACGTCAGGTCAGGTGAGGTAGGTGGTAGGTGGGTGGGGCTTGGGGTTTAGGGTTGAGGATTTCGGAGGTCTAGGATTTCGGGTTTTAAGTGCCTGAACGACCATAAACCGTACCAGCAGCGCTCTACCCACCCGTCTACTTGCAGACGCATATGGGGCAGTCTTGGTTTGGGCCGTAAGCGGGCATTATAAGCTGCAGGCGTTTTTGCCTGCTTTCCAAGCACAAGAGAATAACAGACTTGCGCACCCATCAACGTCAGAGGCGGCAGTGCGGGGTCGCACTTGCCCCTGGACTTTGGACTTCAATCTTGTCATCTACCAATAAGACCCTATAAACCCTAAACCCCTAAATCCATAAACCCCTATGTAATCCCCTAAACCCCAAGAAGGTTTGCTCGCAAGTGAACGCGCCGATTCTCAGAGTCGAAGAGCTCTCTTCGTGTCAGCGACTTCGACCATCATGAACAGAATATTATAGGGACTAAATGATTATCAATACTATTTGGGGGTGAGTGTCCTTATTATAACTATACAGTATAGTACACCCCCAGACCCTGCTCTGCCCCTACATTAGCAATTGCATGGCGACAAGTATTTGCATTCAACCAGTCAGTCCGAGAGGTCACTCACTCAGATAGAATCGCCAATGAAGCCATTCAAGTTGTCAAGAAACCAAACGATATAACCCTGTATATTAGCATCACTGCCTATTACATAGTGCAGCAGAACAGGGTACTAAGAATATGCTATGGTGGTAGAACAATAACAACATCGCTACGTTGAATCAGCTCTTGCACCATGGTCTGGAATTGCATGGTTCTACCTTGTGGCAGCATGACCTGACAACATTGGGCTTACGATCTCGTCGAGCCTTCGGAAATATTTTCGATTAATCGCACACTGACACACCTCCACGGTGCAACAATACCTATGCTACACATGCAACCATTCACAGATCAAAGTCCCGCGGTCCTCATTCCTGAGGTTTTGTGTCGGATGTTTTGTTGTTCTCAACTCTGCATGGGCCACGTTTCGCCCAGCACGCGTTGCTGAGCCTTTGCTGCTTCAAGCCAATCGTGCATCAGATATGAGCTTAAATGTGTTCCATGGCATCTATGTACATACTTTGGTTTCAAAGTACCCGCTATTTGGGTACACGGACCCTTGTTCCCATCTTAAACCTTAACCCCCAGGTACCCTTGAAAGGACCCGCCCCACCCGTTTGGGCACATGGACCCCGAGGGTTAGCTGATCCTAGGTAGTATTAGGGAGACACCGCAAAGGGGACCCTGCTTAACCCTACTATTGGCTCTCTTAAAAAGAGACCTTATTGAGAGGGTCTACATCATGAGGGGTGCCCATAATCCTAACTCCTATAGAGATTTAAGGCAAATGCCCCGGTGAGTGGAGTTGGGCTCCTTAATGTGGGATCCATGTGCCCAAGTGGTATATACTTTGGTCTGAAAAAGTGGTCCCTACGGTTGATGATATAAATCCTGCATTACCCGTAATAAGGAATATACCATAATTCCCATAGTTTGGGGTCCTTAAGGTAATGCAGGATTTAGATCATCAAAAATAGTATATAGTTTGGTCTTAAAGTGGTCCCTACGGTTGATGATTTAAATCCTGCATTACCCATAATAAGGAATATACCATAATTCCCATAGTTTAGGGTCCTTAAGGTAATGCAAGATTTAGATCATCATCAGTAGTATATACTTTGGTCTTAAATGTGGTCTCTATCAAGGGTGCCCCGCAATCCTGACTCCCACCTGAAGAGGCATCGCTGTGTGGAAGCCGTCGAGGCCGCCCCACATGGTCCGACTCAGTTTTGTCTCTCGAAGTGTGTGTCCTTTAGAGGGTTTAGGGTTTATGGGTTTAGGTTTTAGGGTTATAGGTTCAGGGTTTAGGGTTTACGGGTTTAGGTTTTAGGGTGATGGGTTCAGGGTTTAGGGTTTATGGGTTTAGGGTTTATGGGTTTTGGGTTTAGGTTTTCGGGTTTAGGCTATTTAGGAGTTAGGAGCAAGGGGTTTATGCTTTCAGGGTTTGGAGTTTTGGGGTTTAAGTTTTGGGAAGTGCGGTTTCAATCCTGTGCTGCTTCAGCCACGGGGACTGGGAGGTTTGGTGCGTCATCCTGGAAGCTGGCTCCTTTTAGGTATTTGCCAAAACCCCCGAAAGTAGGTAAAATCATGGCCCAAAACCCAAAAAAGGCTATTGTTCTACACATTTTTTTGGGGTCCAGGTGGGGGTTTTTAGGGTGTCTGGTCTAGGGGACTCGGCGCGGAAAATACACAAGGAAGCTTTGCGGACACTGGGTTTACAGCTAGCACAGCATGCCCCAGCGGCCGTGCCAGAGGCAACCATACCATGTGTCCGCATGTTCAGAAGGATGTGGGACGGCTACATATCGCACATTGCAAGGGCGACATAGACTATGCAACGGCTTCGGCACTGCCGTCCGAATCGCTGCGTTTGTTTTGTTGGGTTTAGGGTTTAGGGTGTGTGTGTGTGTGTGTTGCATACGCGAAGGCTTTGCCGCAAACGAGTTTGATCCGAAGAGCTGGTGATAGCATCGAGATCACCGGCAAGTGTGCCCCTAAGACTCCAAGTATTCAAAAGTACCTACTTTGGGGTCTAAACTCTGTAACAGAACCTACTTTCGGCTATTTGGAGTATTCGGATACATCGGCCTTTCGCGCGGGCAGCCCGAAGAAGCTGAAGCAGCCTAAACCCCAAACCCAAGCCCCTGAACCCCTAAGCCGGTAAACCCTAGGTAGAGACGAAGCTGCCCTATTCCCCAAGCACTAAGCCCTAAACCCTTAACCCCTAAACCCCTAAACCTCTAAACCCTAAACTTCTTGCGAGGTGGAGACGCTGGCATCCTAAACCCTAAACCCCCAAGTCCCTAAACCCTCAAACACCTAAACCTCCAAACCCGAAGCCCCAAACCCTGAACCCCTAAACCCTAAACCCTAAAACCCTATAAAACCCTATAAAACCCTATAAAACCCTAAAACCCTAACCCTTTTTGGCGAGGTCGAGACGAAGTTGCCCGTGAATGTCCGGGTGGCCCTCGAGACCAACGAGGGTACCGAGAGCACCGTCTTTCCGAGGCCGAAGTCCAGAGGGCTGCAAAGCACGGGATCCTGTTGGGATTGCTGTGTGTAAGGGTTTAGGGTTTCTGTTAGGGTTTTTGTTGTAAGGGTTTAGGGTTTTTCGGTCAGGGTATTGTTTGTAAGGGTTTAGCGTTTGCTTTCAGGGTTTATAGGGGTTCAGGGTTTGCCTCCGCGTCACCTTGTTTTAGGGTTTTGCTTAGGGGTTTTCAGGGGTTATAGGTGTTTAGGGTTTTGGAGTTTAGGGGCTGGGGTTTAGTATTGCCACATGAGGGTCCGTGTATAACAGGTCCTGTATCGTAGCTACCTTGATCCCGCCTTTGGAGCCCCTGGCGAAAGAGGGCATTTTCTAAACCCTTAAACTCTAAACCCTGCACTGTAAATCCTAAACCTTCAACCCTTCACGCTGAACCCGAAACTCAAACGGCTCGGACGATCTTTTCATATTTTGGGGTCAGTTCAAAATGGGTCCCAAAACATTGAACTCCAGGCTGCAACCCCTAGGACTCAAGCCTTCCATCTCTGAGCCCCACAACGGTCCAGCCTTAAAAGCTGGGTTGCCTCATAGCCCTACTGTTGATGATACAAATTCTGCATTCTCTTAAGGACCCTGAACTATAGGAATTATGGTATATTCCTTATTTTAGATAATGCAGGATTTATATCATCAACCGTAGGACCTTATAGCTCGAATCTCCTTGGTGCACCTGAAGTCGGAAGCTGCTCAAAGCAGGGTTTGGAAAAGTCATAAGCTGGTAACCCTAATCCCTAATCCCCGAGCCCTAAACCCTAAACCCTGATCCCCGAATTGGTTTTTGCTGGCCTTCTGAGCCCCCTTACCCTCACTAGGCCATACACCTCAAACATTTTCAAAAAAGTGTTAACTAAGGACCCTATAGTTTCAGGAATAGTGTTTAAGGCCCAGGCTTCACCAGCACACCAATCACCCTTTAGCAGCGGCCAGAGAATCCTTCAACAATGGGTACTTTGTCTGAAACAAGGTGTAGTTGGGGGGGATGTTGGCAGGGTTTAGAGTTTGGGTCCGCGACCCCTAAACCACAGACCGTAGGACAAGCCAGCCTCGTACCGCCAGGCTCCTGTTGCCCTCCAACGAAGTGGGGACCTTGAGTCGACCATGAAGTTGGGAAGTAGTAATACTAATCCCGAATCCCTAAAGCCTAACCCCTAAACCCTAAACCCAAACCAAAACCCTAAGTACTATAGCGTAGGGTTTTGGGTAGTACACAGAAAAAACATTGGGACGAGAGGGTACTAATTATTCCGTCCGCTACATTCCGCTCAGTTTTGCAGGCTTAGGGGTGAGGGTGCTACGCCGGGGCACCACTCGCATGAATCAGACATGGCTTTGAGTTGTTTTTGCTATGACCGTTTCAACCTTTGTTATTGCCATTTCGAATGACCATACCCTAGCAATGCTACGTTGGACGCGATTGCTAGAGTAGGGTCTCTCTTAATGTCACTTGCGATGCCGGCATGTCTCGTATCTGTTGTCACTTACAAGCTCGGTCGCAGGTGTTGTTGCTGCAGTAGCCATCACCCTTTCTGCAGCTGTACGCATGGATGACCGTAAAGTTTGGTACCCCAGTATCGTGACGCCCTAATGCCTACAAGCGAAAGGTGGAGTGGGGTCAGGCTAGGTTGACGGTGGAGACTTGTGTTTAGGTTTTGGGCTACCGAGCCCCAAAGAGCACGGCAGCAATTTTGGGCCTCGACACCCGAAGGCACCCATGGCCCAAACCTGGTGGTTCCGTCCACCTAGCCTTCCACGACATGGCGTCCGTCGCTGTGGCCGTCGTTCTCATGAGCGGCAGGACGCAGATGTACCGAAGTGTCCCAGTGCATGAATGCCATATCAACTGGTCAGTTAGACTGTAAGAGTAGCCGTTGCAGAGTTAAGCTAGTAAGGATAGAGCACCATGCTTGGTCTTGGCAAGTTTGCTCAGCCTCACAGCAGCCACCCCGCAACTTTATCACTGCGGCAGGAAGGTTAACATCGAGGTGCCAAGTACTGCCTCACTGGATGAGCTACTTGGCCACTTGTGGACAGGGTTCTTTAGGTTTGAAGCATGGGTGGTTGCTCTGGGCGTAGAATACAGCATCATTCAAGTGAGGGTTGCTCTGGGCGTAGAATGCAGCATCATTCAACTGAGGTAGCTGCATCCAAACCCTAAACTCTCATTTTGAGCATCCTTTCACGTCGTTTTGGGAGACCGGTACAGAATGCCGGGTGCAAGAGATTAGAAAACGCTGCTTTGCTGCCCTCGCGCCGTTTGCTTGCAAGCACAAACACGGTCACGGTTGCCCTTCAAGCCAACACCGCCAAAAATGCAGCGGCGCTTTCGAGGCTGAAGCAGCGTGCAGGGAATGCTTTGGGCATTCGGGGCAGCTTGCTCCACTCTTCAGGCCGCTTGCTCGAGGCTCGAGACCCCTCGAGCATGGTGGAGTCTTTCGATCGGATGTGCGGGAAGGGTGGGGGGGGCCGTTAGGGTTCCAAAACCCTAAACCCTAAACCCTAAACCCTAAACCCTAAAACCCTAAACCCTACAAGAGTTTAGGAACTTGCGGCGGGGCCTTATGCAGCAGCTAGGAGGCCAAGACATCCAACACATGATGCCACCTGAGCAAGTTGCGTTTAAAGTTAAAGCGCCTTGCACGTTTATTGGGGCGTGTGCGTGTATTATGTTTCCTGCTTGTCCCTTCTCCGTCTTTGCATTTCTCTCGCAGTATCTCGCTTTCGCTCTCTCTCTCTCTCTCTCCCTCTCTTTCTGTCTGTCTATCTCTGACCCCTTCTTGCTCGGTCTGTCTCTTCCTCTCTCTCGCTCTAGGTCTCCTTCTCTTTCCTTCTACCTCTTTCCCTCTCTCTCTCTCACTCACCCTCTCTCTCTCGCTCTCTCTGCTCTGTCTCTCTCACTCCCTCTCTCTCTCTCTCTCTTTCACTCTCTCTCTCTCTCTCTCTCTCTGTGTCTCTCTGTTGCTCCGTCTTTCTCGCACGGTGTTCTTCGAATTTGTTCTGCCTTTTGCATCTGTCAGGGCCCCCAGACGGTGTGCGAAGCAGGTCTGCAGACACTTTTCTGGAAATGCAGTGTTGGTCTCCGGCGATGGGTTTGGATTTCAGAGTTTACCTTAGCCCCAAAGATCCTACCTTGTTAAGGACTTCTATAAAGAAATTATTCTAAGGAACCCTACAACGGTAGGTTGTTTGGGGTCCAGGTAGACATATAGTGACCGGGGTTTAGGGAGAAGGGGCTTGGGGTTTAGGATGTAATGTTGGGGCTTTGTGCTGCGTAGAGGTTAGAGTGCAGCACGTGGGAATTGGGGGAAAAAGGGTTTATAGATGATACATTATATACATACCTAGAACGTAGTGTGCGAGTTTCAGGGTCTCGTGTTTATGGCTTTCCCAGAGACTATGCACATAAGAACCATACTTAGGATTTGGGAACTTTCATCGGTTTTCAAAATGCGCTTGGGGCTTGGGGTTGGGGAGCTGTGTGCTCTGGGCTTGTTGAGTTTCGCGTGATAGGACCCATAGCAGCACAAGCCCTCCCTAGAGAGTTCACGGTGTGGGGTTAAGGGTGGGTTAAGGGGTTCAAACCAAGGATGGGCGATGTCCTCACATTGCACATGAGGCCTATCTCTGTCGCGGCCACGCATGGGGCCTTTGCAGCTATCCTGTCCGATGGAAGTGTGGTGAGCTGGGGCCATGGAGAACTGGGTGGCGACTGCCAAAGCAAGCAGTCTCGAGAGCATCCCAGAAATGTGTGGTTCTTAAAGACCACTGATGTTTCCGTTGCAGCTGTGCTAGGCACCGGGAATGTGCTGACATGGGGCTATGCATTCCACGGCGGTGACAGCAGCAGCGTCCAGGATCAGCTTCAAGACGTGACACATCTTCAGGTCACTCGGATCGATGAAGGTACTTCAAAGGATCCCTATGAACAGACTGGGATATAGGGACACCCCTAACCCGAGACCCTAAACCCACTGTCTACCTTGAAAAGACGACCCTGAAGCACAGGCCACTAGTTCTGCCTTCGCTGCCGTTCGCAGGGACGGTTCCGTGGTGACCTGGGGTTTGCCTGAGCGAGGTGGCGATAGCAGTTCTGTCCAGAAAAGCTTGCGGAATGTGCTGCACATCCAATCTACTCAGTGTGCCTTTGCTGCCATTTTGGATGATGGCTCGGTCGTCACCTGGGGCAGCAGCAATGGTGGTGGCGACAGTTCTGCAGTAGATGCACAGCTGAGGGATGTGCACAGCATTCAATCGACACAGAGCACTTTTGCGGCAATCCTGCGAAACGGCTCCGTCGTGACGTGGGGTCGCCAGGAAGCCGGGGGCGACAGTACTGCAGTCCAGCACCGGCTGAAGAAGGTGAAGGATGTCCAGTCCACGTTGCATGCCTTCGCCGCCATTTCCGAGGATGGGTCTGTCACAACCTGGGGTCATGCCAGCCATGGCGCCGACAGTTCTGCCATAGAGGGGCGGCCCAATAACGTGCATCAAATCCAGGCTAGCAGTTCTGCTTTTGCCGCCTTACTCATCGATGGATCTGTGGTGACACGACATTTGGATTGGCCCACCACATCCAGACCTGAATATCGAATATGAACACGAGAAAGTCATCAACATTCATCAGCCGAACCCCCAGAACATCAGAACCTTGAATATACACACACCAATGCGCGTGTACTGCAGCTCGTGTTTCCAAGGTGACCTGGGGTGACCCGCGCGCAGGCGGCGACAGCTCTTCAGTGCAAAGCAAGCTTCGCTTCGTTCTGAGGGTTCAGGCGACACAGACTGCGTTTGCTGCTCTCCTGTATGACGGATCTGTGGTGACCTGGGGGCAGCAGCGACATGGAGGAGACAGCAGCACTGTGCAAGACGAGCTGAGGAATGTACAGCAGGTCCAGGCCAGGGGGAAGCCTATCAGGCTACATACTGGTTCGTCAGAAGTACATATGTTTCGAAATCCGAAGGAGTAATGACAGTCATGCCGTTGAAACCCAGTGTTTGGAGTATCCTGCCATAGTGGTCATCCTAGCACGAGGTGCCGACCGAATTCGCTTCCTGTCTGTTTCCAACCAAAACAATGGCTTTCGGGTGTCCGGGCTATGGGTTTGGGTATTACACGGCAACCGAAAGCCTTTCGCTAGGTATTTCGATTCCTGCAGTGCCCCTGAACGCTGATGTTGAAGAAGTTCTTGACCCCAAACCTTACAGTAGCTCTGATAGCCAATAGCAGTGTGCCCTGACAGGCAACTACTGCTGCATTTGCTGCTTTGCTGGACGACGGCTCTGTCGTGACATGGGGGAGCCCGGGTGCTGGTGGGGATAGCAGCCGCTTAGACTCGTTCTCTGTTGTCTTGCGTCATTACGGTTCAGATGGGTTCAGGGTTACGGGATTTGCGTCGGGCTTAGCAGTTGAGACTAACATTCTGCCCTGGTTGCATCAGCATAGGGTCAACTTGTACATCGAATTCGTTGTTCATCATGTCTTCAGTGAACCGTGAAGTGTGAACTCAATGAACCAATAACCCGAAAGCGCCCATCACGAGCCCCTGAGCCCTAAATGCGAAACCTGAGAACCCCGACCTTTCTGCGGCCCCACTCCTTACACCCTAAAGCCTTGAAGCCCTAAACCCTCAACCTGAACCCTAGACCCAAAACCCTAAACAAACCCCGGAAACCCTAAACTACCCATAGGCCCCTAAGTAGTTGCTTTTTATGGTTTATATTTAGAATCCTATAAGGTAATCCCCAAAAGGAACTGCTGAAACCCTAAACCCCTGAACCCTAATCCGAGGTTCGATGCGACCGTTGCTACAAGGCGTGACTGAGATCCAGGCTTCGTCGACTGCGTTTGCAGCGCTCTGCGGAGATGGTCGGGTTGTAACTTGGGGAGGCCACTCGGTTAGGGAGTAGGGGGTTTTGGGCTGAGCATGTTAGAGTTTGGGACTTGGGGGTTTAGGGTTTCGGGAAAAAGATGTAGGGCTTAGGGATGATAATTAGAAGTGTAGGGATACTCGGTTTTTAGGTCGGTTGTTACTTTGGGGCAGCGTGTCGGGTTTAGGGTTTCGGGTGCCCCGTTGAGGGACAGGTGGTGTTGTCACGGGTTTAAGGCTTAGGGTGTCGGGTTCAGGGTGTAGGGTTTAGGGTTCAGGGTTTAGCGTTCAGGGTGTATAGGGTTTAGGGTTTAGGTTCACAAGTCCTGCATCTTGGGTGCCTATCCGACTCGCAGGGGTGCAGTCAGTGTAGTCCCCTGTCACAAGAGGGTTTCCTACCGGTGTTGCGAAGAAAAGTGGGGAGCCTTCAAACCTTGAATCCCATATTCCATGCATGCCAAGCTTTTTGGGATATATTTCCTTGTCAAGGATTTGTGTGTTTTTCAGCCTGAGGCTCGATGCGTAAAATATTGCCTGCAATGCTTGTAACGCCAGTAGCCACACCAGGAACAAATGCTGATAATAGGCGCAAATCCAAAGCCCTAAGCCGAGGCACACAACCACGAATAACAGAAAGCAATCTCTTGTTTAACCTGGCCCGCAAAAACAGCCACAGTCGATCCACCTGCTACAAGACCCAAAGCCTTAAACTCCGAACCCTAACCCCCTGACCCCAATCCCGACAAACCCTAGAAGCCCTAAACCCTTAACCGTAAACCCTAAACCCTAAACCCTGTAAGTCCCAAACCCGAAACCCTAGTAAAGCCTAGAAGCCCTGTAAAAGCCAAGGCTTGGGCTACTTCAGCCAGGATCCGCAAAGCGGAACTCCAGCACAGCTCAGGCACGGATATTATGTAAGCCCGGCTCAGGATGTGTAATATAGCACTTTCTGAAAATTAGGGGTACCTTATTTTGGTGGTCCTTATAAGGATCCTACTATTTAGGGTACTATATTGGGATCCCCTCTTTTCGGAAACCCCCATATAGTGGCCGAAAGAGCCAGAAGAGGAACCTGCGCAGGTTCTACCAAAGCCCCAAAGAACCCACATGTTTAAGAGCTTCTATAAAGAAGTTATAATAAGGAGCCCTAGAAAGGTAGGTTATTTGGGGCCCAGGTTTTGTATAGAGGGTTTAATTTGGGTTTAAGCTTCATAGGGTTTAGCGTTCAGGTGCGTGTATATGTATTGGAATACCTTTATGGACACAAAATAAAAATGTGGAAGCACAAGGTCTTCCTTTCCCACCGGTTTAGCGCAAGTACCCGAGCATTTGTCATTCTTCTCGGGCCATCGTTCCGGAGCAATTTGCTATTTTCTGGTTGGCTCTTGCATCGCCCCAGCCTTACCTATAGTCTCCATTGTAGTTCCTTTTTGGAGTTACCTTTCTAGGATCCTTAATATAAAACTGGTTAAGCCAAAAAAAGGAACTACAATGGAGACTATAGGTAGAAGCGATGAGCCTGATTCAAGGGTCTGTTTAGCATTTAAGTCCGTCTTAAGGCTGAGGCGTATTCCCTTGTTTCAACAACGGACCTACCCGTGAGTAGGGTCCAGAGTGCGTGAAGTGGGAGAGCCAGCTAGGAAGAAGGATGGTTATACGGATGACGCCCCTAAATTAGCCACACACGGTACTGATATCCCTACAGGGGATATGTAACCACGGACCTCGAAAAGAAAATGAGGTAATGGGCTTAGTCTTTCTGGGGAGCAATCTGCAGAGCCTTGTTTGGGGAAGGTTTATGTGGTTCAGCGTTTTGAGCGTTTGCTTTGAGGTGCAGATTTTTGGCATCACATGGTACTGTTTGCGGTTAAGGGAGAATGCTTGCATTTCCGGGGAGTGGAGGTACAAACTTAATCGAGGAGATACTTCTCATGTCACCTGCATCTTCCTGTTGCCTCTCTTCGTGCCCTGCACCTTGCGTCCCAGAGCCTTCCATGCTACGTTGGTATATTGTTGTGAAGCGAGTTCAAGCGTAGGCTTTGGCAATCCTGAACCGTGAGTTCGCGGTTTGATGTCATTCCGACAACTACCCAGAAAGTTGGAGCATCACGATCCCGACAAGCCACTGATTCAAAGAATGGGGTCTCACCCTGGTTGTCCCCATGTAGCTTTACCAAAATCGACTCCAGAACCTTGTTATTTTCAAGGAAATCGGGCGAATAGATTTATACCCTACCTTAACCCCAAGAACCTACGTATTTAAGGACTTCTATGAAGAAGTTATATTAAGGAACCCTAAAAGGGTAGGTTATTTGCGGTCCACCTAAAACCCTAAACCCGAAACCCGAAATACCCGAAACTCTAAAACACCCTAAACCCCAAAACACTTTAAACCCTAAAACACCCTATATGTTTTTGATCCATGTTCCAACTTGCCGGAGTTCCCCAGCAAGTGCTGCCGCGGGGTGAGGCTTCAACAAACTCCCAAGTCTGAGAAGATAATGTCTGAGGGTTTCCGAAAATGAAGGAAGACCTGGGTTTAGGGCTTAGGCTTTAGGGTTTTGGGGTTTTGGGCTTAGGGTTTGGGGCTTAGGGGTTAGGGCTTAGGGTTTTAGGGTTTTGGGGTTTAGGGCTTAGGGTTTGGGGCTTAGGAGGGTCGACCCCTACATGGTAGGATCCTTAGCGACCCTGATTACCCATAGCTAGCCATACGGTTGATGATATAAATCCTGGATTACCCATAATTAGGAATATACCATAATTCCCATAGTTTAGGGTCCTTAAGGAATGCAGGATTTCGATCATCAACCGAAGTTCCTGCAACATTAAATGTGGGAGCGCAGAGATGACTGAGAGCACCTTCCTGTGAGACACCGTCTACGACAACTCTCTACATGAAATGCAGGAAACCCCTAAAATCAAAACCCTAAACCCTGATCCCAAATCCGATACCCTAAACAACCCCCGAACCTATGCGTACGTGTAGGCGCAGGAGTGTGTAAGGAGATGGAATTGTGGTTCGAGAAAACGGCCAGAGAGCCCGTTTCCTCTGACTGCCTTTTTTGGGTCTTAGGGTTACGGTTTAGGGTTTTGGGTTTTGGGTTTTAGGGTTTAGGGTTTAGCGTTTAGGGTTTAGGTGAGTTTTAAGGGATCTAGAAGGGTTTGGGGTATGGGGTGTGCGTAAGGTCTTCTTGACGTGAAGTATGCAGGGTTTAGATTCGGGACTCGGTCTGCATACAGGGCTCCACTTCAAATACTAGCAATTGCATAGTTTGGGGTTCCATATGGCGGTAGTAGCAGTAAACACTCCCCGAAGCCCTACACTCTAAACCCGGACGGAGCAAGAAGGGCGGTAGTCAGTTAACAAAGCTCGAAGCCTCAATCCTAAACCCTAAGCCCTAAACCCTAAAACCTATAAACCCTAACCCTAAACACACACACCCTGAACTCAAAACCCTAACACTGTCTTCCGCCGCCCTACTCCCATGAGCTGCTGTGCAAGTGCCCGCCTTGCGGCTTCTCTGGGCGTCATGCGATGGCGCTCGAAAATACTGCAGTTTTTGGTGTTTTTTTTTGCAAGGTTCAGGTTTTCGGGGTTCGAGTTTAGGATTTTAGGGCTTGGGGTTTAGGGTTTGGAGTTTAGGATGGGGGCTGGGGCCCGAGGGTTTTGGAATTGAATTTCAGTGGAGGGGCCGAAAGAAGGGGCCGAAAGAGTTACCAATGTTGTTCCTTAGGGTTCTTCGAGGTTCTTATGATAAGCATATCCAGAGGCCCCTAAGTAGTTCCTTTTTGTGGCTTATATTTAGAATCCTATAAGGTAATCCCAAAAAGGAGCTACTTAGAGGTGTATGGGTAATAACAAGAACCCATCGAAACCCTGTTCTAGGTCTTAAGCGGACAGAAGAAGGTTCCTAAACGGCCCGACAAGAGCCACCACACAGGCCTAAGAGGATTCACTACACGGTTACTGTAAGTGTTCTATACAAGTTCTACATAGGTTTCAAGATACTGTAAAGACCTGAGAACCTCGAACTCCGAGAAGTGCTTCTTTCAGGGTTCGAAACCCTAAACCCTAAACCGTTTGGGGGTACGATCAAGCCCTGATGATCATGCCCTGAGAACCTCAAGGCACAGTCCTCTATCACCAAACTCGTCGCTTTGGACAATTTCGGAAAGGGCTCAAACTTAGAGAACTAGGGTTTAGGGGTTTAGAGTCTAGCCCTATGCGCTCAGAATATCGGAGCCTCGCAATGAACCGTACACCCTGAACCGCTTATTCAGAGAACTACCCACCTAGGTCCATGCCATACGAGTCCAGAGCGAACACTTCTGGCCCGTGACCATCGAGCGCAGCTCCAAAGGAGTGAGCCCGAAAGGGTTCTGGGGTCTATGGTTCCCGGGTATACTAAACTAAACCCCTAAACCCCTAAACCGCTAGACCCTAAACCCCTAAACCCCTAAACCCTAAACCCCTAAGCCGCTAAACCCCTAAACCCCTAAACGGCTTTAGGCTTTCAGGTTTTAGGACGACCTCTGAGTCTCTTAGTAGCTGAGCTCGTGAACTTGGCAGTTTGCTCAATATTGAAACTCGACAGTTCGACCCTTTTGGCCCGGTTTTTCTTTGGGGGGCCAAGGTTGACAGCTCACATAACATAACATGTATGCACGTACTTATCTATGTATGTATGTATGTATGTATGTATGTATGTATGTATGTATGTATGTGTGTATGTATGCATGCATGCATGCATGCATGCATGCATGGATGTATGTATGCTGAAGCGAGCTTTAGTCGCCTTAGCTTTATGTAGGGTTCAGGGTTCAGCATTTATGGTCTAGGGTAGTGACAGTTGGAAACCGTAGGGTTCAGGGTTTATGGTCTATATTGAAAGCCGGGATATTCTTCTAAGCCTAGCCATTCTAGTTGGAGGCATCGCGAATGCCTCAGAAACAGAGTTGTAGCGATTCCCCCCCTAAACCCTAAACCCTAAACCCCCAACCATACGCTTTCAAGTTTAGGCTTTAGGACTTCGGAAGCCTCAACACAAACCGAATTTGGAGTTGAGGGTTTAGGGTTTAGGGTTTAGGGTTTCGGTGTTTGGGCTAGGGATTTGGGGCTGTTAAGTTTCATGGCCTTTGACCTTGAACCCGCCCGACACCCTAAACCGCCAAACCCCTATGCAAACGCCTGAATCCGAATTTGACCCTGAGGGTGTCATTTGGTATGTTTGATGCCGCGCTCAACCGGCAACCCTGAACCTAAAACCCTAAACCTTAAACCCTAAACCTTAAAGCCTGAACCCTAATCCCTAAACCCGAACCAACCCTAAACCCACAACCTACAAATGCTCAATCGGGAACCCTGAAGCCGCTCCAGCCGAACTCCAACGGGACCGTGATATTGACAGTTCTCACTATGTTAAAGTTATGATGCATAAACCCAGTAACCACATATTAAGGTATTTGGAGCACTTCCAATAGCCTGACTATATGTATCCGTGAGAGAGAACCTCAAGTTTTCAATTCAATTTTCCGAAGCCCCAAACACCCTCTGAAGACCCCAAAGCCGCCATAAAGCCCTATACGCCCTGTATCAAAACGGTGTCCTTTCGAATCCTCCGACAAGTTGCTAGAGGCAGGGATGTGCTTACACCCTCAAGAGTCTTTCTGCGGGGCGCTAAACCTTAAACGAGTCCCTCAACCCCCAAACTAAATCCTAAAGAAGTCGAAAGCCCTAAACCCTACGATTGGGCTTCAGGGCTGTAGCCTCGACGGGTAGGAGCCGATGCTGCTGAAAACCGCTGGATGAAGGCAGGGGGAGACTAAGGATGACTCTGACTAGGTTTCCCAGAAAAACTGGGGCTTATAAGGGGTTCTATGGCTTGTTCTATGAATTAGGGTCCCTTTTTGGGTCCTTTTTTGTAAGGGTGCCGTACACCAAAAAGGGACCCTAATTTAGAGAACTACCCCTACAAGGGTTCTATAAGGGTACTATAGGGTTGAGGGTTTGTAAGTAGGGAAAGGGTACCCCTAAACCCTAAACCCGAAACCCCTAAACCCCTGAACCCTCAACCATGGCTCTTTTTTTGGGGGGGATTAGGGCTACTGGGTTCTCCCAGATGACAGCCCTCAATCCTAAGTCCCCACTTCCATCCCCTCCCCCCTACCCATAGGCCCCTAGGCAGTTCCTTTTTGGGATTACCTTATAGGATTGTAAGTATAAACTACAAAAAGGAACTACTTAGGGGCCTATGGGTAAAGCCTAAGCCGTGCGGTGTTTTTTGGTGGTTGGGGAAGCTTCCAGGTCCAAAACCCTGAACCGTACACCTTAAATCATAAGGGGGTTCAGGGCTTATAAGTCTAGGGCTTAGGGTCTAGGGTTTAGGGTTTAGGGCTTAGGGTTTAGGGCGTAGGGGTTAGGGTTTAGGGTTTCGGGCTTCGGGCTTTCCGCGTTAAGGCTTAAACCCCATAGCCCTGCAGCTGAAACCGTAAACCGCCTCCATGGCTCAACACGATGTAGGATGATGTAGAACACGGGCCTTGATCATTGATCATTCTAATAGGGGGTCTGGGAAGTGTCGTATACATTGTGCTAGCGACTACAACGTGCTGCATACACCAAAACTTAAAACCCCATTTCAGTTACCAAGCCCCCTTTACTAACCCCAAGCCCTGAAACCCCTCACGAGCTTAGCGCTTTATGAGAGCTCTAAACGTGGTTTGAGAGGCCTTGCAAGTTGTTAGAGGGGTTTCACAAATCCCTCAGCCCTAAAACCTAAAACCCTAAACCCCTCAACCCTAAACCTTTAAATCCTAAATCCTAAACCCTAAACCCTAAGACCCTCAGCCCTAAACCCTAAACCCTCAACGCTGGATAGGGGCCGACCTCAGGTGTTTCTGGACTGCCCGAGCCCAAAGATTCGTTCTAGCGTTTATGGCCCACGGTTTTTTTTAGCGGTTTAGGGCAAGATTAGGTGTAAGATTGGGCTGATGGCTAATGACGAAGAGTTTCGGGATGAGGATAAGTTCTAGAAGGGATTTAGGGTTCAGGTTTCAGGGGGCTCGCGTCACAACAGGATTTTCGTGCCGAAGGGTCGACGTTTCAGAGTTCCTGCATTAACTGTTTGTATAGTTGGCACCAAAGACAGACCGTCGAATGGCCGTGCTACATGTCTGGGGAGTTTCCGGACGGGAGCTGGCTTCCATACCTCAGCAAGAACTTCAAGATGCACGAATGCTGAAGCAGATCTTGAGCAAAGTATGTGGTGTCCCGCGCTTCCGGCAGAGACTACTGCATGATGGCGACAGCTTGGAGGACACGGCACGGTTAGACTTGCTGGAGGATGTGCAACTGGTGTTGCTGGACTACTGCCCGACATCTAAGCGTGACGTTGCGGAACTCTATGATGCTGCAGAATGCGGCAATGTGCTGAAGGTTGAGATTGCGCTGCAACGACCGCAAGACCCGAGCTTGACGACATCTCCCACTGCCCCCTCACCTCTTCAGAGGGCTTCTCGAAATGGTCATGTGGATGTTGTCCGGCTCCTGTTGGAGGCCATGGCTGATATGGAGAGATTTCATTGCTATGGCTCTACTGCCTTGGGTAACGCAGCTGCTTTCGGCAAGATGGGAGCTGTGTGCATGCTCTTGCAGGCCGGTGCCAAAAAAGATAACGGCACAGTGACGCCACTTTATGCTGCAGCTGCTGAAGGACACGTAGAGATTGTGCGCCTGTTGCTGGAGGTTCGTGCTGACGTGAACAAGAACTCGAGCCCCCGAATCGCCACGACGGCTCTTGGGGCGGCCTCCCTGAACGGGCACGC